CTAATTTGAAGCTGAATTGTATTCTTTCATCTTTCTGTGAAGTCTTTCCTTTAAAAACACCAAGATCCTGCTGCACTCTGAAGAAGCCTCAGTGGCAGGAGGAGAGCAGTGTGTAATTTGCTGAGCAGCTAATAATGCACAACCCAAGGGTCTGGCCCCAAGGGCAAGGAGCCACTGATGCTGACTTCAAACAGTGTCCTCTGCAGCAACCCTGATGCTGAGGAGTGATTAAGGGTGGGAACAGAACCAAAAGGCTCCAGCTCTTTCTCCCACACTCAAAAGCAGTGCCACAATAGGTGCAAGGGGTGGATTGGGAAACCTTCCTCTGGGTGGAAATGGCAGCAAGTTGTCTGTTCCAGGCTTTCCTCAAAGGAAAGGGGAGCATTTTCCAGGTGTTCATTTAACAGGCTGGAGGCTTTGAGGGGGAAGAGGGGCTGCTAGCACTTTGCAGCTGTGAAAAGAAAGTTGTGTATTTCCATCCTGCCAGGGATGTTACAGGTGATCTGACAGCAGAGAGTGAATTTCTTGTGCTGCTGAATTTTGGCATAAAGGGATAATCCCCAGGGCCATATGGGTTCCACAATGAAGGGCAAAGGGGAGTTCCAATTCCCTCTGCTATGGCCAAGGATGGGTGTGCAACCAGCGGTGGTTGGTGCTGATTTATTCAAGGAGGAGGGAGAATATCCGCTTTTCTTGGAAAGGATTTTCCATTGGAATTTGTATACAGGCTCTGCTTAGCCCAAAGGATGTCCTTGAACCCTAGGGCAGTCAAAAAGACAAGAATACCTCGTGCTTTACCCCCTGGTTCACTCTGGTGGGCTGGGAAAGGGCTGTGGGTGTCTGCTCAGGGTACCAGAAGGGATGAATCCATCCTTTAATCACCAGAACATGCTGCATCTTTAAAAATGCTTTTGGAAGAGCATTGCTGAAGCAATTGTTTTTCCATTCTTACTTTAAAACTTCGGCTTTTCCCTTCTTATTTTAAAAACTTTTGGCTTTTAATCATCCCTAAACCCACAATCCCTTGTTTGCACCTAAACATGTGTACAAAGATTTAGATAAGTAGAGTTGTATGAGATGGGCTAAAAATGCAGGGGAAAGGATTTCTCAGCCCAAAGGTTTGTCTGCTTTTTCCAATTTTAGCACCCAGTCCACAGGAGAAACAGTCCTTTAGTACAAGCCTTATAACCACATGTCATTCAGAAAAGTTTAGCTAAGAATTAAACTAAACATCCAATTTGGCTGCATGTGTAATGAATAAATAAAGCCTTTCCCTTTCATGTACCCGTGCCAAAGTCAACAAGCTCTATTAGCTGATGAAACAATGCTGACGCCAAACAAAAATACCCCTGACCCATCAATATGGGCTGAGAGCTCGGCCCTGCATCACACAGTGTTGTCAGAACAAGAAATACTGTCTCCACACCTCGGGGGGGGAAAGGCTCCCATTCCTGCAGCAAGGTGGGTTCCCTGTGCCCTCACTGGGATGTCAAGGAGCAGCAAAACCATCCCATAATGACCGTCTGTTATGGACCCCTCTCCTTGTTTCTGCCGGAATGATTTGGGAACTCCTTGAGCTGCAAGGAGCTGGGGCTGGGTTTTGGTGTTTGCTTGCTCCCCACTGCACGCCCCATGTGTGAATTCCCCACAAAACCTGAGGAATTTTTATCCTGTGTGCAAAACGCTGACGCTTGGAAGTGAAACTCCCCAAGGTCCCTGCTCGGTATCAGAGAAATGTTTCAGCATCTCAGAGCATCTCAGCACCTGGGAGCAGCCTGCCAGCTGTGCCACCCTCCTCCTCCTCCTGCCCAGGAGGGTGGGAAGGTGAAGGAGCACCACATCTCCCCTCTGCCCCATGGGATGTGCAGCTTGGCCATTTCCCAGCTGTGCCTGCCCTGCAAACCCCTCTCCTCTCAAATCCACATTCAGCTGCTCCGTGCCATGCCCTGCCTGTGATCTTTGAAGTCTCACCCCTCCCTCGACATCCTTGGTTTAAAAGATCTGTTCCCTATTAGTCTTCAGTCACACTTTCAGTTTCATTCAGGCTTTTATTTACCTATCCATCTGTCTTCCTGCTCCCACCACTCCCCCTTGCCCTGCCAGGAGGCAAAGCACAATTCATTTTTCAGGTGACCCTGCCAGGAAGGCATTGACATGAATAGGAACAGGTTCAGAAACTGCGGAAAAAGCAAAACCCTTGACTTTAATAAGCAGCAAAACACTTCCCAATCAGAAGAAGCAGCCAGATGTGACCAGAATTGCTATAAAACACAAAGGACGGTCCTCCAAGTAATTCCTGCCATCTCTTGAAGCCTCCTCGTGCAGAAGTGTTGTGAGCAGGGCGGGAGCTGTGGCAGGGCAGGGAGTGATCCCTGGGCTGTGCAGGACACACTGGCTGTCTGACAAGGTCCTGGCTGCCACCAGGACTCTGCTGCTCACCTGCCCTGCACGGGGACATGGGGCAGCTCATTCCTGTCTGCCTGTCTTGAGCAAGGAGGGCTGTTTGTGTGTCTTTAGTTTTGATTGCAGCTGTCTGAGCAGGGCAGGAGCCCCGCTGGGCTGCGCTTAATTCTGAGTAAGGCGAGTTTAACTGCACGGACAGTCCCCTGCTGTTTTGAAAGACACCTAAGAAAGCAATACAGTCACCGTAAGAACTTCTCTGCTGGAAAGCCAGGCTCCTATGAGAACCCACCTGTTACAAGGAAATAATTAAAACCTGAAGAGGAAGGATAACAGGACACCAAAAGGCACCTGAGCAGGTTGGCAGCGAGGAGCTGCCCTGGCTTTGTGTGAGCTGCGAGCCCGGGGCTCGGAGCCTGTAACGATCCGCGGGCAGAGACATCGATTTTTGTCCAGCACTTCCTTAGTGCAGGGGCAGCAAACTCGGCTCACATCCTCTGCGGGCTCGGCTCCCCCTCCCTGCACGTCGATAGGTGTCAAGTCACCCCCCAGCACCGGCGATGGCAGGACCATTTCTTGCTGATTCCACTTCCCACTGACCGTAAGGGGATGCTCAGCAGTAAGTGGCCACATGTCATTCTCGGTGACAGAGGCCGTGAAAATTTGCCTTGATGGCCTCCCAGCCCACAGCACTCCAGTCCTAAGGCTGGATTGGAGCCTGGAGCTCTCCTGCAGCCACCTCCTGCTCTGTGCACTGAGTGCTGGGTGGGCTCCCTGCTCACCTCTTCTTCCCCTGCTTCCTTTTTATAACTCTTTAGTCCTCTGGAGAGAACAGCACTGGTGTAACATGGGGGAGAAAGGGCCATGAATACAGGGGTGTTTCACAAACCCATCCCAAAAAATTCTAAAAACCACTCGCAATATATTATTCCTGTTCTTAGCTTGATTCTTCACCAGGGAATTGCTCAGGGACGTTGCTGTGAGTGCTGGTTTCTGTTTTGGGAGGCGAGAGCCGGGCCAGGCTGGGGTGAGGCAGGGACAGGAAGGCAAATCCATGTTTTGCATTTGTGTAGCTCTCATTCACGGCTGTACACGGTGTTTGCAAGTGTTACAGCACATGGCAGGCGTACGCTACAAGGAAATACTGATGGTGCCCAGAATAGAAAGATTTCAGCTCAGTATTGACTGAATCAAGAGATGCACAGAGCTGATTGCAGTTTGTGTCTTTTGCTTCCTTGGAGGTCAGTGGAGCTGAAGCCTGGAGCATCCTTAACCAGAGAGGGTTTGCAAAGAGCTGCAGTGAGTGTAGTGGGAAGCAGTCTGGTGTTCTCCTTTAAATCCTTCTGCAGTCAGTCAGATAAATGGAAATACAGACTGACCCATCAATAGTTAACGGTTTTATTTGCAACCTTTGGACTTAATCTTTCTTTTCAAACGATCTTTTAAAAGGAAAAGCTGCTACTTATCTGGAATTAGTGGAAATGTCTTCCCTGGTACTAATGAGAGCCCTTAGGCTGGATGGAACTGGGAAACTACTGGCAGCATGTTCTGATGAACATAAATGTTTGGCATTCCTTGGTGTTGAAGGAGCATTTGTCTCTTGGATTTTCAAGAGGTGCCCTGACTGTTTGGGCTCAGGGTATTTCCTTAGTGGTAAACTGAGGCATGGGGTAACACTGGCAATAGAAAATGGGACTCCCTGCACTGATTTAGAGGGAGAATTCCCCTTCTCACTGTAATAAATAATAATATGCTCTTTTAGAAGACGCTGCTTGTCCAGTGCTCAGCCCAGTGGAAACCCTGCCAGCATGGGCTGGGTCGGTGTCTGTCCCTTAAACGTGTGCCTGGACCACTCCTGGGGGACCTTTGGGAGGGGGCATTACTGTTTTGCTCTTTGCTTTGACCCCTGAACTCTTTAACAATGTAAAGCCTTGTGAATTATAAATCAAATGTTCCTGCTGAGCTTTGTGGTGCACAGAATGAAATGCGATGATTAATATTTAAGAGAAAATAAGTTAAAGATTTTAACTACAAGGGCAAACGTCTATCCACAGAGCCCTTTCATGTGGAGGCTAGCAGAGAGGGAGAACCACATTTTCAGGGGCTTTAGTGAAATTTGTGGCTGTCACACCAACTGCCAGAGCTGTGGGTGTGCAGGGACCAAACTACCCCACTGCCCTGCCCTTCACTCTGCCTCAGACTCAGACCATCTGCCCACATCCCATAAAATCCCAGCAGTGCTGGAGCAGCCCTTTGGGATGGGACTGGCCAGCACACCCCACTTGCTTTAGCAAGTTATGTGCATGCAGGGGCAGAGCTTTTCCAAAATCCAGACCTCACCCAGGGCTTGCTCAGCCCTCCCTGGCTCCTCCTCACCCTCCCCTTGGCATGCCAGCCCCATTCCTGCTGCAGGACTGGCACAGCTCCGGGATGGGCAGGGTGCCTTCTCCCTGCTCTGCAGACTGACTGAAAGCTCCAGGCAGTGGCCACCGTGGCCACCCTGACCCAGAACACCCTTACAGTGGCACCTGGGCTGGACACTGCCTGCAGCCACCAGCAGAGCCTGTTCTAAGCCAGCAAACAAGGAGGGGAACACTTACATGGGTGCAGAACCTCTCTGGAGGGTCCCCACAGGTGATTCCTGCCGGCTCCACCCGCACGGTCACGTAATCCTTCATCCTCATGGCCTTGGGCTGGCAAGCATAAAACTCCCATGATGGGCCATCGTCCGTGGTCACCCAGGACTTGCAAATGTCATACTGTCCCATGGCCAGGGGGACACAGTGCACGAGGAGAGCAGCCAGGTAGAGCATGGCAGCTGCGGCCAAGCGCGGGGCCCCTGGGCGAGGGCAGTGCCGAGAGTCCCGAGGAAGGCGGCTACTGGGCTAGGGGTGGCTCTCAGGATCAGCATGGAAACTCCTCATCTAAAAATGCTCCAGTCAAAGGAGATCCAGACAGGAACAGGGATGATCCCACTCTGCACGCTGTGTCTGGATGTGGAAAGTTCCTCTCTCGGCACAGAAGCCAACTTTGCAATTCACTTGATTGGGAAAGTTTTGGCCAGAGTTGCTGTTCAGTGGTCAAAAGTCTTCCTTAACCTCATTTTTCCCCCTTTTATTGTACGAAAGGTCTTCCAAATCAGCATGAAAATATCTAGAGGTGACTCCAGTCAATCAATACAAAGATCAAGTTCTGAGCTGCTGATGAAATTTGATAGGAGTAAATTGGAGAGGCTGTGAGATGGTGCTGGATCAGGTTTTCCTCAACCTTCTGGTCTGCTCTGAATGCGTCGCTGTGGAAGGTGCCTTAAACTGTGTCTGCCTTAATTACTGGGGTGTTTGAACATTAGCACATAAAATAAATAGAGCATCTGGTCATCAGTGCAACTCTGACAAGAGAGACTGCTTGGAGCTAAAATTCCTTTTCCCCCAGGGAGGGTGGTGTCAGCGTGAGCAGGTCGGGTGCCCAGATCCGTGGTGGTCACAGCGGCTGCTGGGTGGTCACTGGGGTGACTGGGGCAGGGCTGGCCTTGGCTTCTCCTGCTGTGTCCTGTGGTGGTGGTGGTGAGGATTCCTGTCCAATTCTGCCTTTTGGCAACAGAGCACCGAGTTCCCAAAGCCTTCAGCTGCAAGCCATGGGGCTACCTGAGGTCTCCTCTCTCTTTCATGGCCAGGGCAAAGGCAGAGCTCATCAGCAGGAGGGACCTGCAAGAAATTGGAAGACAAATTAGGTGGGAGCAAGGGGGGACAGTTGGAGCAAGAAGAAGAACAGGGGTCCCTCAGGAGGCAGAGCCCTCAGCTAGGCTTGCCAAGCCACCAGACAGGTTTTTGTAACAGGGAGATATACAACTTTAATAAAAAGCAATCCATAGTAAGATGCTTATGGCTTTTCTGCTGTCTGGGAGAAGGAAAGGAGTGCTGCCCAATTTAAGGTATCTGCTTTGCAACAGCAGCTGGACAACAGGAGCCCTAATAGGTCTCCAAATAATATCAAGAAGCAGCTATGGGTCATTAGAAGATGAGGAATATGCAGACAGGGCAGGAATAGACAGACAAATAGACAGACAAATTGATAGTCCTAAAAAGATAAGCAAATAAATAAGACAGCTGGGGAGACAGATACATTGTCCAGCATCCCCACATATGATTTATCTGAACAATAACATTTAATAAAAAACAATTTAAAGTCCTAATAACATTTAGGTTCACCTAATACAAAGAGCAATGACCTTCCCAGTATTCATTTCAGGTTAGAACAACATTTCTGCAATTTTGTTGTCTTTTCAGTAGAGCTATAAAAATTGTAAGTAATTACAAAACAAAATGACAAAGAACTGGAGCAGGGAGGGGGAAAAAGTCAAACCCGCTCTCAGTATTAGATTCAGGAGAGAGATCTCATCTGAGAAGGAGGGAGGCACATATCCAGAACAGAAATTTACCTTTGGATAATTCTCTTTCTATTTCTTTCCCCAACTTTTCTTTCACAATTGAGGCATATCTGTTTCAACAGCATGCTTAGCATTTGCTTTCTCATGAAGCTCAGTTACTAAAGCTCAGAAACTCCAGGTTAACAGATGCATTGATCCGTGTTCGGGGGCTTCACATCGCTCTGCTACCATCTCCCTTTCCCCCCTTTTTGCTTGAAAGATTGCTGATTGAGATGAATGAGTTCAGAAAAGAGAAGCTGTCTCTCATGCTTCATTGCCAGCTCTCAACGAAGAGCCTGTTATAGCTGCTTTGGACCTGAATAAACTCCCAGAAAAAGAATAGACTGGCTGCTATTTTTGTATTATGAGTAAATGTAGTAAAAATAATAAGCCAGTGTGACACAGTGTTTGTAAGTCCTACTTACATCAGAGCTGTCTTTTCAGTTATAACAAGTCAGTTCCTAATTATTACATCAAACTGGTCACTGCCAAGTGCCTGATAACAGCAGAGAGTGAGAGACTCCGGGACTGGGTAGAAAACAAGCAGGGTAGTTTTAATGAGGACTCCAGTGCTGTTAAGTTTATGGATCTATTTTCACAGCCTCAACAATTACATTTTGCACTTGAATGGCTGTCAGGGAAAAACCCAGGTAGAAAGGATCTATAATATCTATTAGTGTCTTGTTACGCTGGCTAAATGTCACAGATTCCCAGGGAAATGAAAATTTGCTGGAAAAAAATGCATTTACTGTCAGTCCATCAGCCTGGCAAGCGGGTTTGGGGTGAAGTCTGAGGCTCAACACTCACTTTGCCAGTCCAGTCCCTTTGCAGAAATAGTTGGAGTGTTGCTCTGGAACGAGCCAACATACTGCAAACGGGGCAGAGAGGCTCCCCAAATTAAAGGTTTCACCCTGCTTGATTTGGTTTGGTTCTTAGAAAATGTATCTTCACCTGGCATTATTAAGAAACTGCAGTTCATGGGAACAAATAGAATCAATGCTCTTTGTTCTCTTTGAAGAGTACTCAGCACTCACTGGGGACTGATAGCCGGAGTATTAAAAAACACAAAATTAGATTGTGTCTTGACTTAGCTGGCTCCAGTTTTTTTCTTATTATTGGATTAACACCCTATTGAAATAAAGGGACAACGCTGAGCAACAACTGAGCTGCTCTCGGATTAAGAGCAGAAAGTAAACTCAATGAAGGAGTTTTTAATTTTCTCTCAGAAGTGTTGCTCTCCCCCCGCGCTCACGGAGCCGGAGTTGTTCTCCTCTTTCCCACGCTGCCCATCCCTTCCCCGCGCCCTGGACAGGAAAACTGGGGACACCCGCGGGGGGACGGCACCCGAACCCCGCGATAACGGGGCGATAACGGGGCGATAACGGGGCGATAACGCTGCGCGGCTCCCCGTGCAAACCTGTAAATCCCACTCGCATCCCGCCGCTCTCCCTGATGGATTCGCGGTTCCCGGCAAAACCCCACGCCGCTCCCGCTCCGCCCCATCCTCCCCGGTTTCTTTTCCACTAAAGGACTTTCGGGGGGCTGCAGGCACTGGGGAAGGGATCGGCGGGGCTGGGGGAGCCCCCCGGGCTTCCCAAACTCCGAAGTGGGAAAATAAACCCCATCCCACGGCGGGGAGACGGGGACGTTCCGGGGATGTTCCGGGGATGTTCCGGGGAGGGGGACGGGGAGCGGGACACCCCAGGGAAAGCGTGGGAACAACTTGGGAGGCGCGGGGGGACCCGCAGCGTTCGGGGCTGGGGCAGATGCCGGCGCTGTCCGCCCCCCCCCTCCGCCCCCGCTTTCCCCCCATCCCCGGCGCTGCGGGTCCTTACCGGGAGGGAGCTCTGCGGCGCGGGGCTCCCGGCGGAGCAGCCAACTTCGGGGCCGGGGGAACCCCCAAAACCAAAACACACCCCCCAGCCCTGCCCTGCCCTGCCCAGCCCAGCCCAGCCCAGCCCAGTCCAGCCTAGCTGGGCAGGCGCTGCGCCGCCGGCCCCCAAGGGCAGATGGCCGGGGGAGCTTTGTGCAATCCCGGCTCCCCTCGCAAGTTAATGCCGAGGCTGAAATCCCTTTTGCTCTCACTTTCAATCACAATCGGAGCTTTTATCTCCGTGCCTGATCCCGGCTGCGTAACTTCCTCTGTGCAGCTTTAGCACACACCATCCCACCGGCGGCAATGGGCTTCTTAAAGGTGCAGGAGGAAATGCAGGGGGGGGGGAGGAGGAGGAGGGAGGGAAAACCACCCGAGGAAGAGGAGGCTGCGAGCGGGAGCCTTCAGCCCCGGCGGCCCCGCGGCTCCCGGTGCAGCATCCGCGCCGTCCCGCTGCCCCCGGCTGGATACCGGCAGCCGGGAACGCCGCTCCTCGGGGCTTCTCTTTTATTTTTTTTCCTTTAAGAGCTTAAAAAAAAAAAAAATTAAAATCATGAGCTCATGTTTGCTCGAGAGAGGAAAAAAAAAAATCTCTAGTCACGAGGGTTTCCCCACACGTGTAAGTCCTCGCTTGGTGTGCCCTGAATATTTTGGGGAGGCTTCTGCTGGCGAAGATGCTGTAAATGAGGCTGCGTGCGTGTGTGTTGGGGGAAGAGGGGGTGGTTGGAATTAATAGGATAAACAAAGCAGGAACTCGGAGATGGGGAAATCAGATGGCTGGGAAATGCTTGATACTGGTGGGAATGTGCTGTGAGATTTAACAGAACCAGGTTTTGCTTTGGAAAGGTGGGGGATGAACATGCTGAACTGTAAGGTCTGACAGCACTTTCCAGCACGGGGCTGGAGAAGCAGCTGGAGTTGCTTAGGTCAACTCTGTTGTGTCCATGGTGAGGGGCAGAGGAGGCTCCAGCTGTGGACAAGGTGGATAAAACTGTGGCAGGTAAAAGTCCAAGTTTTCCCTGCACCAGGCAGCTGCTGGAGACAGAACCCCTGAGCAGCGACAGGTTTTCGACACGTGGATAAATGACAGTTCAGGGATAAATGACAGTTCGTTTATGGGGAGGAAAACTGGAGTCACCACTGCCTCCTGTGTACACAACCACCAAAAAATGACTGCTCCTTCCCAACCAAGAATTCAGTAATTTCTAAGCCAGAAAACGCATTGTCCATCTTACACGTGGTTTGAACCTCATGTGCTCAGTGTTTTGTTATATGGTTTCCTTTGACCCATTGCCCCGAGGTCTCTGGGTGGCCTCTCCCGTGTTAGAGTCCCGGGAAAACACACGATTCATCCTACAACAAGACAGAGGTGATTTAGAGTTCTTCTGGGAAACGTTTCCCATATTCTGGAGCATAAGTGAGATTTATGAAATGCTGGCATTATGTCTTGACTGTGGCTCAGCCTAAACACGAGGCTGATGCACTGGGTGGTCTTCACATGCAAGGATGTCTTTGATTCTGGCTAAGTTTCCACTCCTGGACACGGTCTGATACTTTCCACACGGTAACTTCTTCTGTAAACACTTATTTTACAGCAGCAGTGTAGCTTAAGTGAGAAGCACTGG